AAATATACAGCAAATACTAAAACAATAGCAATGAAGGAAGTGATAACATGATTCATAAACAAAACAAGCTCAGCATAGAAAATTATGTGGAACAAAGAAATCGATACAATGAAAATCACATGACAGAAATGACAGCAACAAATTCACATTTGCTGATAATTACATATCTGACAAGGGACTTATCTCTAAGGTTGATGGAAAACTCCAACACCTCAACACCAAAGGAATTAACAATCCAATTGAAAAATGGGCAGAAGACATCAATAGACACTTCACCATGGAGGATATTCAGGTGGTCAGCTAATACATGAAAAGATGCTCACAATCGTTGGCCATCAAAGAGATATAAATCAGAACAACAGTGAGATATACTGTCTCACCCCAGCACTGACGGCAAGGTTCAGTGAGACAGAAAATAACAAGTGCTGGTGGGGATGTGGAGAGATTGGGACTCTCATACACTGCTTGTGTGACTGTGAAGTGACACAACCACTGTGGAAAGCAATATGGCGATTCCTTAGAAAATTGGAATTGGAGATACCGTTTGACCCAGCAATCCCATTACTAGGTATATATCCTAGAGAGGTGAGAGCCAGGATAGGAACAGATACATGCATGCTCAGGTTCATCACAGCACTATTTACAATAGCAAAAAGATGGAAACAGCCTACGTGCCCATCAGCAGAAGAGTGGATGACCAAACTATGGTACATACACATACTGGAGTGCTATGCAGCACCAAAGAACAATGTAGAGTCTGCAAAACACGGCATAATATGGATGAACTTGGAGGACATTATGCTGAGTGAAGTAAGTCGATCACAGAAGGACAAATATAGTATTAGTTCATTGTTGTGGAGGGTCAAGGAAAGATTTATATATGGAGGGAAACTTTCTTTGTTGGTTGCCAGGGGTGGGGGGGTGGAGGAAACAGAGCAAAAAAAAAAAATTCATTGACCCGTGTCACTTTAGTTTTGTGTATTTTACTGTCCATAAATTATATTTCAATAAAATGCATTGGAAAAAAAAAAGAACACTGAGGTTTTGGTTATGATCTTATGAAGGCCTGGTGCCTGTGAAGATTTTTATTCAGTTGTTTATTCATTTATTTAAATATATTTTGTGTTTTGGGTGAAGGTGCACAGAGCAAATTAGGTTCCTGCTTAACAATTTCTGCAGTTTGTTCGGAGACATCTTCACTGTGTGTCAGCTGTCTCGTTATTTTTATTCCAGTTGTTGCATGCCCACTAATGTAGCTATCCTGTCCTCGTGTCTTTTCCTCTTGCTTTTGAGTAAATGTTGACCATTGGGTCTCATATAGATGGTTTTTTGAAGAAGCACAATATTCACAGATGATATTGTTCATTTCATATACTGATCTGTTATTTAGCTAAAACATGACTTCATGGATACGAGGATGGTTTTTATCCAGAGTGTGGGAGGTTAGACGGGGAGATGGAATCTTTAGACCATTTTCTCAGGCAGCTGATTTTGAGGGTAAGGAGAGAGAGGGATAGGGGCTGGAAGGAGTTGCTGTTGTTTTCAAGAATGTAGGTGTAGCTTACACGCTGAAGGATAGAAATCGAAGCTGGACATAGGAGAGAGGGGATACTGACAGGGCAGGACCAGGCTGAAGCAGGGGAGGTGTGGAGAGGGACGACCTGCTCTGTGGGATTAAGCACCTTAAACTTGTTCCTGTGTTCTCCTTAGGACCTGAATGCCTACAAGAAGCAAGGAATGGCGCTGCTGAGCAGAGTGGGCGAGTCAGTAAAGCACGTCACTGGGGGCTACAAGCTGAGGAGTCGGCCTCTTGAGTTTGCAGCCATAGGTGAATACTTAGATACATTTGCACTCAAGCTCGGAACCATTGATCGAATAGCTCAGCGGATCATCAAAGAAGAAATAGGTGAGCTCTTCATTGAGCTGGGTCATGACCAGGGGCTGTATTTACAGAAATGGTATTCATGTGTGCTTATAAGCTGACTCAAACTGCAGAAATGGCAGAGTGGCAGAACTAGGTCATATTTCACTTAGAAAACTGGTAAATAGATTTAGAGTGCGGAGGAAGTAATTGTAGCTAGACTGTCATTTTGCATCTCAGCCTTGTGTTTGCTTTTCCCATAGTAAACAACCATTTGGATGCCTCTGGGCTTTTCCATTTGTAACTCTTTAATTTTAGCTTAAAACCAAACCCATTGCTGTTGGCTAGATCCCGACTAATAGCTACCTTAGAGCACTTGGCTGCTACCACAAAGATCAGCAGTTCAAGCCCACGAGTGCCTCTGTGGGAGTAAGATGTGACAGTCTGCTTCCTTGAAGATTTACAGCCTTGAAAACCCTATAGGGCAATTCTACTCTGACCTGAGGGTCATTATAACCTAGAATTGACTCAACAGCAGTGGGTTGAGCAACAGGTACCATTCCCTTTAAAGACGAGCCATCCAGTCAGCTGCCCTCCATCCATAGGAGGATAGTTTTAAAACAAACTTAGGTATCTTTTCTGGTAGGGAGATTGTTCAAGAGGACAGCACAGTGACCTATGTTGGCCAAGATTATGATCTTAATCAGACTTGAAACTGACTCACCTGCTCACCTCTGCTTCTTTCAGACCCACTCCCGCTGACCTGTGGAGTTGCTGAGTCCTTTCTTTATACTTCTTGGCTGTTGCTACCACTTCCTCCCCACCCATGTCATGGCCGTCTACTTTGATACACCCTGGAATGTTGGGGCCATTTGTCATGTTACCACATATGTAGATCAGACACATCTGAACATTGTTAACAATCAAGCTGAGGTGTAATAAGCTCATTGAAAAGCATTCTTCAGCCATTTATTAGTTATGGAAAAATGGCAGCAATATCCAGTTGTAATTGCAGGAGGTCATAGGGACAAGTAATGGACCAGATTTTCTTTGTGGGAGAAAAAAAAAATCAACACTTGCTTCTTATGCTGGTCTCCTTCTCCTTTACCTAATGATGGTATCATGTGGGGCGTGCAGGTACCCTGCAGGTTCTAGAGATAGCTTCAGGTCCTAGCACACTTAAGGATCCTGTTAAATAAATTTAGATTTCACCGAGGTGCTGGGTAACATCTGACTGAGAGTGAATCTGCCTGTGTAAGACCACATCTCCTGTATCAAAATATTTCTAAAATGCCATTATTTTTCCATTGTGACAAATTTTTTTTCTTTAAGAACACTCCCCATAAACCTGTATGAAACTCTGCCCCATTGCTTATTAAAATAATGCTTTACTCCTTGGGTAGGTGAATGGTTGTTTTTGAAGATGTTTGGTGGATGTGGCCACTACCACTTTTCTCTGGAAAGCATTGTGGACTTCTTATCCAGAGGCATTGCACTCACATTATGGGGGCAGAGTGAATGGATGCTATGATGTTAGCTGGAAACCCATTTTAATGCAGCAAGCTCTTGGCTCTCATGGTTACTGAGTCATAATACTGGTGGTTGCTACCTAGCCAGACCTTCTTGGTTTCTCTTTCCCCTTTAGAGTACCTCGTGGAGCTGAGAGAATATGGGCCTGTGTACTCCACATGGAGTGCGTTAGAGGGCGAACTGGCTGAACCTCTGGAGGGTGTGTCAGCCTGTATTGGCAACTGCTCCACAGCCTTGGAAGAACTGACTGATGACATGACAGAAGACTTTCTGCCTGTGCTCAGGGAATATATTTTATACTCTGACTCCATGAAGGTAAGTTGGCTCCTTCTTGCACACTCAGGTACTTTCTTTGTAGTCTGAAAAACTCACTGCTGTTGAGTCAGTTCCAACTCATAGCGACCCCTCCTTGGGTTTCTGAGGCAGTATCTCTATGGAAGTAGATTACCCAGTCTTCCTTCAAGGAATGGTTTGTGGGTTTGAACCGCCAGCCTTCTGGTTGGCAGTCAGATGCCTTAGGCACTATGCCACCGGAGCGCCCTTCTTTGTAGTAGCCATTATTAAAAAAAAAAAAACAGTCATTGCCTATGTGCATGTGGTACAGTTTTCCTGCTTCTTGGGTGGTCAAAATCAGACATACGGACTGACATTCATGGACATATAAATAGAATGCATGACAAACCAAGTACAAGAATTACATGCACAAAAAATAGTTTGGAAGAAATTCTTATTCATGGTCTCAGAGTTCAAGCAGATACAACATTTATTAAACAAGAACAGTGATGCTGTGAAAAAAGAACAATGGGTAATTAGACCTCTTGGAATTAAAAATATGACTGTTAAAATAAAATGAATAGAAAAGCTGGAAGGTGAGGTAGAGGAAATATTCACAGTACAAAACAACAACAACAAAAGAGGAGTTGCAAAGTAGAACAAAAATGCAAAAGAAGATAAGAAACATAGACAGTTAATCTCAAAGGCCCAACATTTGACCGAAAGAACTCCTGATTAAGAGAACCATCGAAATGGAGGGAAGGAAGTTAAGAAAGAAAGAATACAAGAAAGTCCTCCAAAACTGAAGGATATGTGTCTTTAGATTAAACTGGTGGAAGAGTGGTGGTTCAGATTAAAAGGACAGGCTAATTGCCCACCGAAAGGAATGAAAAGAGAACCATCCAGAGCTTATCACTGTGAAAGTATAGATCACAAGTGATAAGTTTTTGAAAGCTTTAGAGGGGGCTTTGGGGAGAGGGAAGGAGGAGGGAGAGGGAGGTGATGTAAAAAAGGAAAAAGAATCAAAATGGCTTTGAGTTAGCAAAAATGGATGAGAAGAGATGGAGAAACTATGAGGAAAAGATGATTTCCAATCTAGAGCACTGTATGCAGTATAACATCTCACCCTGCACCCCTGCAGCTGGGGTGCAGGGTGAAATGTTCTAATGCCCATACCAGAAGCTGCTGGCTGTGGTGCTTGACCCCCCCACCCATGCTGGGACTGGGTGGACAACATAGCTGCAGAGGAATTCTAGAATGGTGGCACCAGTTAAAGGTGCCAGTCTTTATAACCAGCAGGAAAAAAATATGAGCTGTGTGGTTCAGTGTTGACATCTGTATTTCTAAGTAACTTTCTTCCTCCTTTCCAAAGGAGACCTCTGAATTACTAATCTGTCTTTGGGGCAGATTTGGGCATCCCTTTAGGAAGGACCAAGGAGGCACTGATACCAATCTCTTGGTGAACCTCTTTAGTCAATACTGGGGTGTCAGAATGGGAGAACAGAAAAATCATGGAGTTATGTAAAGATTCTGCGGTAGCCATCAAGTCACTTCTGACTCGGGGACCCCATATGTGTCCAGTTAGAACTGTGCTCCAGAGGGTCGTCAGTGGCTGGTCTTCTGCAAATGGGTGACCAGGCCTTTTTTCCAAGGTGCCTCTTGATGGACTTGAACCTCCAGCCATTTGATTGGCAGCAAAGCACATTAACCTTTTGTGCTACCTGGGGACTACAGCTTGAGAAGGGGAGAAATAATGACTTAACACAGTTATGATAGCTTTTCTTTAAAAGAAAGAAAGAAAAGAAAAAGCCAACTTGATTATGGAAAATGTCAAGCATATATAAAAGCAGAAGGAACAGTATAATGACTCCATGTCCCCATCACCCTTGTCCCATTAATCTGGTATGAGAATTTTAAGGCTCGTAATACATATTAAAGTGTGACGATGGAAAGTAGAGCCTGTTCCTGAATCAGTATTCCTGTGTACTCTGTAAAGCTGTTAACAAAGTGCTTTCACAGAGGATAGTGTCTGAATCTCAGTTGTCAGGGAAGTGGTATGAATTTTCCTACCTGTAAGGTAGAAGTGGTGGTGGTGGTGGTGGTGGGTGGTGATGAAGATGTGAGGTCATTAACTGATGTAGCTTTGTTGGTAATTATCAGAACCGAGGCTGAAAACCAAGGCTTCTGGCTCCGAATCTGCAGCTTATTCTCCTCTAGGGCACTGCATTTTTTAATTGAGATATACACCTTTCATTTTTAATCCCCTGACTGAAATGAATATGGAAATATATCCTGAATTGCTTAAGATGAACAGAATATCTTACTTTATTTATGAAGTTAATATTAACCTGTTTTTTGTAAATAAAAATAAGTATTTACAGTTCCAGAGGGGCCCCTGGATTTATCTCTTGCATAGATACTCCCTGCATCAAAGTGATAGACAGGTCTCAAACTTTGCCAGACTAAAAACCCGGTACCTGGATGGTGCCGCTGCTGTGGTGCTGTCAAGTCGATTCCGACTCACAGTGACTATATATAATAGAGTAGAGCTCCCCGTAGAACTGCCAAGGCCGTAATCTTTACAGAGCAGACTGCTTCATCTTTCTCCCGCAGAGCAGCTTGTGGGTTCAAACCACTGACCTTTCAGTTAGCAGTTGAGTGTGTAACCAGTGTGCCACCGGGGCTCCTGGCATACATGGTATTGGGATAACATAGCACAAATGACTTTGATCTGTCACACGGCAAGTTTGTTACTACTTAGTATCTACTTATACTTGAAACCAGATTTTAAATCCTTTAGCAAGGATTTATCTGGTATTTTTATTAAAGCGTTTTTAGCCAGTGAGACATAAACTCGTGTGAGTAATTGAAGTTGTATATCAAAACAACACTTGTCTGCCCTCTTCACCCCATGTGTAAGGCGTGTGTATTGAGTTACGTGTTCACTGAGCCTGCAAAAAATATTAATCAGGTTAGTCGAGTTGGGAGAATGGGATTGCACACAGTGTTGTGTAGGTGAGGGCGTGGTAGAGAGGAAGTGTTGGAGGACTCTGAACCCAGGCTGTGCCCCAGAAGGAACTTAGAAAGGAAACGAGACCACCTGCTCCCTGTCTTTCCTACTAGATAATGTCTCTGTGGTGTCCCCTGAGGAAGACAGGAGTGACATGAAGGCATAGCCAAGACTATGTGTGGCATTGTTGGAGGCTGTGGAGCTCCTACATGTTCCCCCCAGAAAGCATTGTGAACCTCTTATCCTGAGGCATAGCACTGTGAAGCAGAGTGAATGGATGGCATGATGTCCTAAGTGGTTAGGTGGCCTAAGTGGTTCCCTACTTTTGAACATTCAAAAAATAATAATTTTTTTAAAATGCTGCCATTTAAATAATAATTTGAAAAAACCACTGTCTTACAGCTCACAGTGACCCCATAGGTTTTCCAAGGCTGTAAATCTTTATGGAAATAGACTGCCTCATCTTTGTCCCATGGAGGTGCTGGTGGGTTCGAACCACTGACCTTTTGGGTAACAGGGCAGTGCTTTAACAACGATGCCACCAAAGCACCTTCCTTTGGACATCACTGCTTTTTAATTAGTAACTGTATTTTACTCCCCTGAGAAACTCATATAATTCTATTTCCAAAATAACTGTCCAATTTTAGGGATCATGTGGTGTAGACTTTGCTATTCACCATGAAAACTAATGGAGGAGAGAGGGCTTGCTAAGGGACCTGGTTGTGACATGTTCTGCAGCCACTGCTGACTGGTCTTCAGAACGGAGACTTTCTCCCTTCTTGAGTTTGTCTTGGTGGAAAGTTATTGGTATAATGATGTTTCATCAGTCTACTCCATTTATCATGGCCTTTTGGAACCCAGCTCAATCTTAGTCCTTATCATTTAGAGTCAGGGGTTTGTGCCTTAGGAATCTGAAAGACTTGGGGATCAGTCGAGCCCTGTAGGGGAGAAACACTGTAGCTCATTGAAGTCTTCTCCAGATGGGGCTAAGATAGGGGTCTTCTCTGAGTTGGGAAGAGCATTTGGGATCATTTAGTCTGATTTGCTCTTTTTATAAATGAACAAACTGGGGTTCCATTGGTAATGGCCACAGACTAATGGTAATGGCCAATGACCCTTACAGTCACTCTGCAATGGTGTCCTTACTATTTACCAAGAGGAATGCCAGGGTGGACCCTGCCCTTCGAAGCTACATCTCAGATGGTTTCTCTTTAAGCACAATCATAGCTGAGTACATTCTGTTCCCTCAGGAGGTGGGAGCAAAGCATAGAGAAAGTGGGGTCATTTCAGACCATGTGGATGAATGGAACAGTGAGGTGGTGAGCAGTCAACAGTGAGGACAGCTTGTACTAGGCTGAAGATATACATCGCAAGGGTGCAGGGGAGCGATGGTGCACACTGCCTGAGAGGGAGGGGTACCAGAACTTCTCTGAGGCCTGGGACTCAATTTTTACACCCTGTACACATCTGTGGTCTTTACATGGTGTGTCACACCATGTACAGCACGTGCATGTGAGATGTGATTAGGGTAGTGAGGGACTGAGAGAGAGTATCTTGCAGGCCTCACTGAATTGCTAGCAGTGCCTTTTGAGACTGATATCCCTATGACGAGGCCAAGAGTCAGAGAAGCAGCCTTTTAAAAGGTTCGGGCAGGACCGTTTATTTCCCACAGTGCCTTATCCATGGAAGATGATTGACAGATATTTAATTGAATTGGATGATTTAATGAGGTAGGAATTTTTAAAGATATGTGACTGCTACATGTTCCTGTGTCTTGTCATTATTAAGAGAGATATTCCCTTATGAGTCCAAGGGCATGCTTTCTCATAGGTCTTAGTGAATGACTAAGGGTGGTTTGAGGGTCTGAAGTGAGAGTAGATGCTAAGGGAAAGCCACGCAGGAAGTGGCTTTGGTTGAAGACTTGAACGACATGTAGGAGTTAACTGTGCAGATAGAGGATGTTAGGCAGAGGGAATAGTAGGTGCAAAGGTTACAAAGAAGAAATGAGCTGGGTGTTTTTGCAGGTCAGAAA